GCATATTCCTTAGGAGATAAGGATTGCTACAAATAAAGGGGATGATTATCCTAATCCTATAATGATTAGGATAACTACAACATATGGATAAACACAAGGGAGGATAGTGACTGATGCTTGGCCGCCTGGTATGGTACTGATATGGTCTGGTCCATTTCCGGATATGTCCCAACCACCATCTTCATTTCTTAACAAAATGTTTATTAGAATTTGAAATTATTTTCAATTACTTATAACGTGTTTATCCGCCCGTAGAGCGGATTTTACCTAATTAAAATATTTCTCTTTACACAATTGGAGTTGTGTACTGACAACTACCTAAGTTAGGTAACTTTTGAATAATGAAACCACTAATGATGCTAATTATCAATTAAATTATTACACAGTTTAAATATATATATACCTCCACATATGAATCCACTAGTCATTATTATATTAACCTAATCAAACCGTGTAACTTCCATTCTTAGACAAATATATACAACATGTAAAAACAAAACAAAATATAAAAATAAATATAAAATCACCAAAACCAAAACAACATAATGCATCAACATATCTAACTTGGGCGTAGGCTATACTCCTAGTATAGCAAATGGTTTACTTTGGATACGTGGGTTTTAATTAGATTTACGAATCTTATTCTTAATATTATTTTTATATATGTTAAATACAAAAATATAAAGCCAATATAAAAAATTAGATTATATGGAACAAACATAGCGAAAATAAAAAAACTACAAACAGGTAAATAAGAGTACTTTGCTTCTTCAACAAGCAACTGAAACAAACACAAAAACATCAGACTCTTACAATTACTACTTCTTCTGCTGCTACTTCACTCTTTCAGTTCCCATCATCTGATAATATCAAGTAAAGGGTCTCCCCACCATCCCCTGAGCTTCCTCCTCTGCCTTCACCACCTTCCATTCAACTTCCCACATTGATTCTATGGTCCACTAGTTTAACCTGCAAAAAGACATTGGAAAGGCAGAGTTATATCTTTTGAAACTAGGAGAGATATACGATTGAGCAACATAATTAGTTAACGAACATGAAAAACTTGTCACATTTCAGAAAGTATATTCATATACCAAAAGCCAATGAGTACTTGTCTCTCACATGAAGAGCAAACTAACCCTGTCTGGCAACAAGCTATAGCCACAAGGTTTCTGGGTTGATTGTACACGAACAACACAAATCCTATCAGTCTATCACAAGAAGTATTCAAGACACAAAAGATTACATGAAAACAAAACGAAAACTAACCCTCACGTTTTATGCTCTTGACGACATCCTTTACGCCTCTCTTCAAGCACTTCTTTCCAGCACCTGTGACAAAATACGGATCAATACAGTATCAGAGGAAACTTCTTGTTCAATACACTAACAATCATTCCATCAAATAAAAGCCAACAAACGAGCTCGCAAGTATAGAAGGGAGAATGATACAAGAAAGAATGTATAAGTTAGATCGTATTGGTACATAAAGCTGCAGATAAATGGATCTTTCTTGTCTTAGTTATGAATTAAAGCATCAGTGAACCATCCCCATCAGAAACAAACCCATCTAACGCATTTCATATCCTAAATTATTTAGAACAGAGACCATCACTATCAGCTTCTTCTTGTCTTAGTTATGACTAAATCATCAGTAAACCATCTCCATCAGAACAAACCCATTCTCTTGGATCTTGGATCTCATCTCCGGCTCGAGCTCTCTCATCTCCGGCTCGAGCTCTTGTATGATTCCAATAAACACCCTACTCATGACCACTGCTCGTGTACCAAAAAGAGTGGAGCTTCCACAACTCGTGAATGAAGCAACATTGTGAGGGCGAATTGTAATCAGCAAAACGTATCTTCCGTTAAGCAATTTGGCCAACAAAAACCTTAAAATTGCAAAGCTTTCCAAGATAAAGCTAAGCACTTTCGAGGTCACAACCGCCATTGAGGTAGTGGCTGATCTTTTTCTTTAATTCCCAAGCGCCCTCGTCAAAGAGGTACGATGTCGTCATCTCTTAGCAAAAAGATAGAAACTTTAGGGGTTTGAAACGATCTCTACACGTTCACTGTGTTGATCAACCGTTTCTGTAGCTCCTCTCAACTCTCTCTCGCTCTGTCTCTTCTTGGGAAGATATTGAAACTTGTTTTTGAGCCAGTGAGGTCACTCTTGGTTCTCTTGTTAACAGGTTCTGTCTGTAGACCAGAGTCTCTGAAGCTGTTTCTTTTTGTGTCGACATGTTGGTGAAGCTTGAGCCAAGTCAGCAACTAGCCACTGCTGAGTTCGTTGTTCCGAAACAGATGACGAGATGACGACAGCAGAAAACGACAGCAAAGGAACCTCCGAGAGCTCATTAACCTCAGTGGAGACAAGATTCAACATACTCAAGCTCTCCAACTTCCTGATTGATTTGGGGATCCTGATTGTGGATCTTAAGAGAAAAAGTTTTTGAATTTGTTGCAGAGATCCGACTGAGCGAAAGAGAGAAGAGATTGACTGGGTTGAAACAGAGGTCAACTTTTCGAGAGGAGGAACGGAACAGCGGTCAGGGAGTCGTGGATGATGAACTCGTGTCGAGGTCTTCTCTTTGTGAGACTGGACGCTCGAAAAAGCTTCATTCTTTTTCTTTACTAGATAGTTTATCGGGTTGGCTGCCTAAAACCCCCTGTGAACTTACTCATCCTATTTATTTTCCCCCGAAACTTCTTAGTTCTTGACCAATCCACCCAAAAATAGAATTCTCTTCATATCTCCCCTCAACTTTTTAAAACCCCCTCCCTAATCAATTTCGAAATCAAAATTACAGAACTATTAATCGCGTTTTGTAAATTGTGATTGCCCAATTAAAAACAAAACCTGAATCGAAAAAAAAAACACTCGTGGGATCGGGATCGATCAATCCCAAAAAGAGTCGGTCGATCCCAACGGTCGATCTCGAAGATTAAACCAACCCGAAAGAAACTTAAAAAAAAATAGAATTGGGGATCTAATTGAAATTAGGTTTTGTTTCTCTTCTTTGTTTCACGACAGTCGTCGATAGAGAGAGAAAAACATGACAGATACGAGAAAAGAGAATGCAGAAGAGAGAGAGATAGTGAGTTCCGATGAAAATGGTACCATGGACGAAACTCGAATTCGCAGCCCAGGAAGCATGGAAGAAACTTGAAGTCGCGACCCGGTCACCGTAGACAATGTGAAGAATGTTGAAGGAGCTGTTGTTATTAGGTGTGGAGAAATCGAAAATCTGAGTTTAAGATTGCTAAACTGAAAATTCTTATTTGTTTATGTCTTGGTTTGAGTTAGTTTTTTTAATTTCACAGAGATGAAGGTTATGAAACTGAGTATGAGTACGAGCCAAACAAGAAATTCGTAAAAAAGGTAAGATGGATGAAGATGAGGATACTATTGGTCAATATGAGTTTGAGATCAAAGAATCAGTCGCCGAATTTGAGGATGAGCCACCAGCTGAGAGAAGCGAGATTCCAGAGAGTTCGGATGACTCTTCCGAAGATGAGATTGATGTTCGTGATAGGAGGATGAAAATAAGAAGAAGAAGTCATGATAGATTAGCTTTGGGGAGTAGCTACTACACCTTATATGAGTTTAAAGAGCTTGTTTTAGAGTATGCTTTGAGCGAGAGAAGAAACATTAAGCAAGATAGGTGGGATAAGACAAAAGTCTCATATGTGTGTGGCATCAGTGGGAAATGTAGATGGCGAATATATTTCTCCTGTGATACCGAAAATCAGAAATGGTTATTGAAGACGAAGTACAAGTATCATAGTTGCACTCCGGATGGGAAATGCAAGCTGTTGGAAAGTCCGGTGATTGCAAGAATTTTTTTGGATAAGCTGAGACAGAACGCAAATTTAATGCCCGAGGAGAATCAACAGATTATAAAGGAGAAGTGGAAAATAGTCAGTACACGAAATCAGTGCCAACGAGGCAGATTTTTAGCTCTGAAATGGCGTGAGAAAGAATATGAGGAGCAATTTCTCATCTTCAAGGATACACAGAGGAGATCATGGCGACGAATCAGAGTTCCACAGCCATTGTAGACACATACAAAAACAAAGCAGGGGAAGATGTTTTCAGAGGTTTTTATGTCTGCTTTGGGATTCTTCGGGACACTTGGAGAGGATATTGTCGGCCGATTATCGGAGTTGATGGTACGTTCTTGAAGAGAGCTGTGAAAGGGGTGTTGCTAACTGCTGTTGGACATGATGCCAACAATCAAATCTATCCGATTGCTTGGGCCGTTGTTCAATCCGAGACAACTGATAGTTGGCTATGGTTTATCAAGAACATAAAACATGACTTAGTTCTAAAAGATGGGAATGGGTTTGTCATCATTTCAGATATATCAAAGGGACTTAAAAGTGCTGTGGAGTTAGAGTTACCGAATGTTGAGCATAGAAAGTGTGTGAAACACATTGTCGAGAATGTGAAGAAGAATCATGCCAAGAAAGACATGCTGAAACCAAGGATATGGGATATTGCTCGGAGTTACACCAAGTCGGAATTTGACTACAATGTCAGGAAGTTACAAGCATACGATTTGAACTTGTACAATGATGTCATGAAGGAGCTGCCGGAAACTTGGTCTCGATATGCGTACAAGCTTGGAAGTTGTTGTGAAGACGTTGACAACAATGCTACAGGCGTCTTAATAAGTTGCTTGCAAGATATTAAAGAACTTCAACTCTTAGATAAGTCTATTAGCAATCGCTATCTAGACTCGTTCATTGATCTGACTGCCGGCAATATCGACCGATGTTTTGACAGCGATATCAGACGATATAGGTAGCCGTCGATCGATTACTCTATAGGAGTATCGATCGATATAGCTTCAGATCGAATTGAATATGTGTTCACCAAGATCATAGACCAGATCTCGCTCGTCCCTAGAGGACGTCAGCTTATTCTAGATGATTTCAAGATGATGATTAACAAGTCAAATCCTTCCAGGATCATACTCGAGTTAGGTACTCTAAAGTAAGCATTAGGGTTCATCAGGATAATGAATATCACAACTCAACAATCCATAGTTGGGGCTAATCCCTCATAACTATTTGAACCCCAAATCTAACAAGTGAATCTACTCAGACTTGGCTAAGTAATTCATAGCATCAAGGTAATAATAGAAATTCTTAAGATTAGAAGATCGAACACTTGGTTCCTTTGAACAACAAATCTCTTTGTATGTTCTTCTAAATCTTGAACTCTATAACCTTTGATGAAAATCAGAATAAGATGAAAAGAATACTTTTATAAATGAAAGAACTAAGAGTATTAAAAAGCATAAAAAGAATAAAAGCATAAAAAGCACCAAAAGGAACACTCTGCCAAAACACATAGACATAACTATAAATATGAGTTCAATTAGGTTAAAACTCGTCAGGGGCAATCTTTTAATATTGAGAGAACTTGGGCTTCAAGTCGGCTGAGTCAAACTTGTTCTTCACGCTCGATATCGATCGATGGTACAAGGCGTACATTGATCGATAGAGTATCTCGATTCGTCATCTTCTACGGAAGCGTCATCGATCGATTACACAGGATTTGTATCGATCGATATGTATCTCTGGACATCGACCTTGTTGTCTGATCTTCATAGTTATCTCGGGAAAACTCTCATTTAAGCTCCATAAGGGTATCTAAATCATCATTTTACTCCAAAATGCTCCTGAACCTGAAAACATACCTAATAGACTCCAAAACATATATATTGTAAGTTAATCTCAATACCATGGTTAAAAGTGGGTCAAAACCATGGTAGATCAACTTCCCCAAACTTAACCTTTTGCTTGTCCTCAAGCAAACACAATAGTTAGTCTTTGGAAGAAGTTTTAGAAAAACAGTAGGGACTCAATCAAATCTTAACTTAAGATCATCACCTCTACTTTGTTGCAAGCCACATCTCATATATATTAACTATAGAAGTACATTATACCATATCCTAGTCTAGCAACCAAATTCATCTAGCCAATCAACTTAGCAATCCTGTTTGTTTATCCCCTCTACTGATTTCATTTATGCATAAAATAAAAGTGTAGGCTTTACCTTTGGAGTATTGATCAAGGAACACTTGGATTAAACTCAAGCAAGTTTCAAGCATTCTCATTCTGGTTTCTTTTCTCCTACCTCTCCCTCTGCCTCTCAGGAAATCATCTCAATCTTTTTTTTTTTTTTTTGGAATGCCAAAGGAAGGAGAGATGGAAACCAAAATTATCAAGACTTTTACCTTCCTGACTTGCAGGAGGATTCTGATCCCTTGTATACCAAGCCCCAAGACAAGCAATAGATGTCAGGTTAGGTTGGAAATAAGCTTTGGTTCTTCCAAACAATCATGAAAAGTGTTGTCATAGGTGACCGGTGATTCACTTTAGCATCTATAGTACTTTCTGCAATCAACAATTCTAAGAAGGGTGCTAAAGAATGGTTATATAAAAAGTAAAAGTTTTGAAATATCTTCGTCCCCTTCTTGACTCAATAAAACCAATTTTGAAACCATTTAATGAGATCAAAAGGTAAAGTAGCATCAGTGATCTCCACTCCCCCAAAATTAAATCATACACTGTCCTCAGTGTATAACCAGTCGGAGTTAGGGCATAAATAAATAATGTATAACTGATATCAAAAATTGTGAACGATATACCTGACCGGAATTCGTATCGATCGATGGTGAGTCGCCTTCGTCGATCGATGGTGAGTCGCCTTCGTCGATCGTCATGGATAGGTCAATGTCGAGCGATGTCGACATGATCGTATCGGTCGATAGAGGTAGTGATCGTGTATCATCTCGTCTGAAACTAATAAAACGAAAGTAAAAACTAAAAATAATATAAAACTAAGTAAGAAAATACCTAATTGTGGGTTGCCTCCCACTTAGTGCTTAGTTAAAGTCATTTAGCTTGACTATGGAGGTATGGTGGCTAGTGAGGTGAGTTGCAGGTACTTGTTGGGAAACAAGTATCCTCTTTGTCTTGTGATTCTCCAAACAATGAAGTTAAGAATCTTATTGTGGCTTCCTCTCTTCTGGTCATACTAGCTTTCAACCCTTGGACCTCATCTTGGATTCTTTGTAGCCACTCCTCAAGGCTCGCAATGCTGAACTCATGTTGTCCAATCTTGCTGTATGTTTGTTCTAGATCAATAATCAGCTGCATGGTGTCGAGGTGTTGGATGGTTTTCACACGGGAAGAGATATTATCGCCCGATCTTTGTGTAGTTTTGTCGGTCAATTTGAAAGGATGTCTATCGGTCGATGGGCTGAATGGCACGTCGATCAAAGCGGATGGTGCAGGTCGGTTTGCGAGCTGTCTCTGAATGTTTTCGATCTCTTTCTGAATTCCTTCTTTTGTGAATTCCAATTCTTGAACGTCACTCTGTACTGGGAACCACATCTTGTCGAGTAATCTGTATGCTTCGTCTCCACAGGCTTCAATAGCTTTGTAGATATCTCTTGTTATTTCCTCAAGTTCTTCTCTGGTACATAAGTTTGGTGCTCTAATATCGGTCGATGTGCAGGGTGGGTCATCGATCGATAGCTGTTTCTGAGATTTCAGTTCTTCGCGAAGCGCATTCACTTCTTCTTGCAGGGCGTCTTTCTATTTGCGAACTAATTC